TTAGAAAAGAATCCAATTAAGAATAATTGGATTACATAAGAACATAAGAGAAGCCATTGTTGGATCAGGCCAATGGCCCATCCAGTCCTACATTCTGTGTCACACAGTGGCCAGAAATCCCAGGTGCCCTCAGGAGGTCCAGCAGTGGGTATTAAATAAAATCCTGGGTCCTCCTTCTTGGTCGTGTTGTCATGTGACAGATGTAAAGAGCTAGCATAGAGAAAGGGGGGGGTAGAGAGAGACCGTGCATCCTTCTTGGATTTTACAGTCATGTACAAAATGCAGCTGTGGTTTTGATGACTTATGGAGCCAAAGAGTGGGCAGGACTAGAAGTTTATGATATGGGGTGCAGAAATGTATTTTGTGTGTGTGTGTGTGTGTTGTGTGTGTGTAAAGTGCTAGGAGTTAAAAGCAATGGCACATACTGTCATAATCATGAGAGAGAGGGAAGGGAAGGCTTTCCAAATCATCTGGAAAAGAGAAGAAAATGCAGAAGGGGGTGGGTCAGCAAGAAGGAAGTGACATTCGCCTAGCTGTGGAATGCTGTGCAGGATTTCACCCTTCTAAATCCATTGAAATCAACGGGCTTAAAAGACTTAACTCACGGTTAAGAAAGACAATTACAGCAAGAATACACAGAAAAAGCAGCCCAAGATTCTGATCTGATGCCCCTGCTGGGGCAAAAGGGGGTGGCATTTCAGGATGGCACAACTATTGTGTACAAAACCATCCAAGGCAAAGTGTGTTTGGCACTTGCTATTCGTTACTTGTTTAGTTCCTTTTGCATCCTACCCTTTTGTCAAACAAGGAGCTCAGGTTGGCTTCTGTGGGATTCTCAGGAAGGCTCCTGTGACCTGCTCCCTCCAACCGTAACCTGCTTGGGAACCTTTTAGATATCAAGACAAAACTGTTTGATCCCCCCCCCCGAGCATTTAACTGAGATGTCTCACCCCCTAATTGCTAGTGCACTGAAGTAGTCTGCTTGTTTATCTTTTTAAAATTTCAGTTTAATTTTGTTTTGATGCTGCCTTGACCTTATTAACCTCCATGGCAGGTTTGTTACAGATGTTGTAAATGCAGATGGTACAAATTTGTTGTTTTACTTCATGTACCCCCCCCTTCCTTCACAATGGGAACCCAAAGTGGCTTACGTCCTTTTCCTCTCCTTCGTTGTATCCCCACAACAGCCCTGTAGGTAGGTTATGCGGTGTGGCTGGCCCAAGGCCACTGAAGCGAGCTCCCATAGCAGTGTGGGGATTCAAATCTAGGTTTCCCAGAGCCTAGTCTGACATTAATCACCACACCACGCTGTCTCTGGGAACACATGAAGTTGCCTCGGATTAGCAGGGTGCAAAACGGTACCCGCTTTCATGACACCAATGATCCCCTTTCCCGTTGATTCTTGCTCAGTATGCGTCAACCGCTCGAAAGCTGAAACGTGTCCCCCACCCATTGGAGATGCTGGGGATTGAACCTTGGAGCCTTCTGCATGTAAAGCAGGGGATCTCCCACTAAGCTATGGCTGCTCCCCATAAAATGACTCCAATTAAATATATGAAGCGGCCTTTAGCATCTCAGGTGGCTGGTCCGTCTAGCTCAGGATCGTCTTCTCTGCCAGGCAGACTCCCTCCACGGTCACAGCACCGGCTACAGAGAATCCTTTAACTGGAGATTGAACCCTGGGATCCTCTGCGTGGAAAACCTGGGCACTAACAATGAGATGTTGGTCCTTCTCAAAATACCATTCCATCTTTGCAAATTATCTACATCATCTTATTACCAAAACAGAGGGCAAAGGGGCGGTCAGATAAGCTTGCTTTGAAAAAAATAATAAAGCACATGCATGTTGACATGTGAACAGTACTTGAAGAATCAGTGCCTTTAATGACTTGGCTGCCTTTTGACAAATGTTTGCAATGAAAGGAAGAAAAACTCAGCCCGGTAGAGTTATTTATTTAAAAGCAGGCAAATTCCCTTTTGCTCCCTGAATCCCATCGTTTAACAATAAATGATGCCTTCTGCTGATAAATGGCTCTCTTTATGCAGACGAGCAAATTAAAGAGGCTGTTATGGCTGAGGGCGGACAGACGTTTCTTAATATGCATCTCTTCATGCAATTTGTTTGAAGCTTAGTATCACGTCTGGGAAAGGCCTTCTCTGAGTGAGGGTGTATGGGGGGGGATGCAGCTCTGGGGGGTGAGACGGGGTGGTCCATACAAAGTGCCAGTCACAAACAGAACCGCTAATGTCTTGTAAATTGAGTAAAGCTAGCCAAGCCTCCCATAACCCTGTTAAAGCTTACCACTCTGGCCTGCTGGTGTGGGGAGGTTTGTTTCCCTGCTGTTCCTGCCACTGACAAGCAGTGTTCCCTCTAAGCTGAGTTAGTGTGAGCTAGCTCACAGTTTTTTAGCCTCCGGCTCACACAGTTTCATCCTAACTCAGGACGGATGGCTCCAGTGCCTACTAATTTATGCAGTAACCAAATCGCTCGCTCACAACCTTAATGCCAGTCACTCACAAAGTGGAATTTTTGCTCACAAGACTCCACAGATTAGAGGGAACATTGCTGACAAGAGTAAAGTCGGTGGAGCACAAGGCAAAGCTTTGCCTGACATTCCTCCATTCAAGACCCGCCCTGACTGCAATCTGCAGTTTAAATGTCAGTGTGTATAAATTCAGCACCCTGACCCGCATGGCCCAGGCTAGCCGGATCTCGTCAGTTCTCGGAAGCAAAGCAGGGTCAGCCCTGGTCAGTGTTTGGAGGGGAAGCCACGGAGAAAGTCTAGGGTTGCTATGCAGAGGCAGGCAAGGGCAAACCACCTCTGAACATCTCTGGCCTTGAAAACCCCAACGGGGTCGCCATAAGCCGGCTTCGAAGTGTGCGTGCACACAAAAGCTCACACCTTGAATAACACTTTGTTGGTCTTAAAGGTGCTACTGGACTCTAACTTTTGTTCTGCTGTGACTTGACGTAGGACAACAAAAACAAGAATTTGCCTCCTCTCGCTTTACCCACAAATGTGGGTAAAGCTAACTTGTGGCTACCCATAACATACAAATGGAGGCTTCACCAGAGTTAATTTTCCTTCTGCTAACTTGAACTCTAAGCCCAGGGCTAAATCGGAGCTAGGATTGTGTGGTGAAAGATAAGTCCAGTTAAACCGCACGCCTGCATTCTTATGCACAGGTAACCAGAACCATTCTAAAGCCAACCGTTCTTTTATCCTGCCACATGCGGGAAGAAGAAGGGGCCAGGTGTGCATGTCAGCCAGGGCTTGTGCACATTTTTATTTTAGCTGCTCTTAAGTTGGATGTCAGACTGCAGCCTTTTTTTCACCTCTAACTACCCTGATAGTTTCCAGAACAGCACAGGGTCTCAAGGCAACTTATGGTGGAAAATGCTGTCAGGTCGCAGTTGACTGATGGCGACCCCAGCACCATAGACTTCCTTGGTGGCCTCCCATCCAATGTTCCCCCTAAGCTGCGGAGTCTTGTGAGCAAAAATTCTACTTTGTGAGCTGCTGGCAGTAAAGTTGTGAGCCAGCGATTTGGCTGCTGCATAAATTACTGCATACATAAATTACTGCATAAATAAACTCTGAAAGCCATTCTTCCTGAGCTAAGACAAAAATGTGTGAGCTGGAGGCTAAAAAACTGTGAACTAGCTCACACTAACTCAGCTTAGAGGGAACACTGCTCCCGTCCACGTACTAACGAGGGCTGACCTTGCTTAGCTTCCATGATCAGATGAGGTCATTCTAGCTTGGACCTGGTCAGGGCACCTTATAGAGTAACAACTCGTGGTACCAACTACACACACACACAGAGAGAGAAGAAGGGAAGAAACATTGGAAAGTTACTACAAAATGTGTCCAGAAGGTTGTGTGGTCCAAGAGAAGTGTGCCTTGCATTATACTGTGGAGCTCCAATTATACCCCCTAAGAGCATTACACTCACTAGATAAAGACCTACTGATGGATCTTCAACCAAGAAGCATTCAATGAACTTTGACCAGAGCCAGAGCTTTTTCGGCTCTGACCCCGGTCTGGTGGAACACTCTTCCAGCTGAGATCCCGGCCCTGTGAGATTCGTCACAGTTCTGCAGGGCCCATAAAACAGAGCTGTTCCACCAGGCCTATGGCTGAAGTCTCTGACAGATTAAAATGACAGCTCTGTCCGACCGGACACTTGTCCCCTCTTTTCCCTGCCTCTTACCAGTATTGATGTGACCAAATATTTCCCTGATAAGGTTAGTTGTATTGTTGTGCACCATCTGTTTTGTTACGATTAATATGATTAGTATTAGATTAGAATTGTAAGAAGTTTTTAATTAAAGAACTGTTTAATTTAATTTATGATTGTTATTGTTATTATAAAAATGTTGCTACTCGTCCTGAGCCCTGCAGCAGCAGGGGAGGGCAAGTCATAAATTAAATAAATAAATAAATAAAAGTTCTTGTAGATTTCCCGGGCTGTATGGCCGTGGTCTTGGCATTGCAGTGTCTGACGTTTTGCCAGCAGCTGTGACTGGCATCCTCAGAGGTACAACACAGAAAGATGGAGTTCCCCAGGCTGTGATATCCTGTCCAGACTGTGCACAATCCCACCTACATTGGTGAAGACCGCTCCTAACTGGTATCGGGTTTGGCAAAGCAAGTGCAGTAGTGTGGCTAAGTTTCTGCTGGGGGCAGGAAGTTCCTTCAAGTCACAGCCAACGTATGGTGACCCCTCATGGGGTTTTCAAGGCGAGAGACTTTCAGAGGTGCTTTGCAATTGCCTGCCTCTGCGTAGCAACCCGGGATTTCCCTGGCTGGTCTCCCATCCAAATACTGACTGGAGTCGGCCCTGCTTAACTTTTGAGATCTGACAAGATCAGGCTAGCCTGGGCCATCCAGGTCATTCAAGAAGGACAATCACTTTCTGTACCATGCTGGCCTTCCCTGTATAATTTTGCCACTCCTGATAGTTTCCTCTCTCTCTCTCTCCTTTATGTTTTGTAGCTCAAAAGGGCCAGTGGCAAAGTGGTTTCTTTGACTACGGCTCTTTTCTGGAAATCATGCAACCCTGGGCTCAGACAGTTGTGGTTGGCAGAGCCAGGTAAGTATTAATAACATGCTGTTACACAGAATCACATACGTTATGTTGTCGGACTGACATCCTTGTAAGGTAGGCCAGTAGTACTACCCATGCAAGTACGAATGGGAGCAAAGCAAGTGCCTGGCTTAAGGCTACCAAATGAGTTCATGATGGACACAAGTAGCAGAGTGAGAAAGAACTGGAAACTCAAAGTACATTGAGAGAAACCCAGAAGTGGTATAAGAAAGAAAAGCAAGACTTAATTTTCAGATCTGTCTGTCTTTCTTTCAATATCTAAGAACTGATAAATGAAACTTCCGTATTCTAAATAAAGTTTTCTGGGTGGCCTTCAACAAAAACCTTCACTTTCCCCAGGTAAATCAAGGTGTGTTGGTCTGAAGCAACAGGACAAAGTTAGAGTCCAGTGGCACCCCCCAGTTGAACTGAAACAGACGATAGCCAGGAATTAAGCTTGTCATTCTTTTGATCTGTTAAAAAATGTGTCCTAATTATTTTGCATGCTAATTTAACAAACTACTCCTATATATACAACTATGATATGTAATTCCATTTCATCATCTGATGAAGTGTGCATATACACAAAAGCTCACACCTTGAATAAAACTTTGTTGGTCTTAAAGGTGCCATTGGACTCTAACTTTGCTCTGTTTCCCGAGGTAAAGTGAATGGTGGGAATAAAAACAAAGTTCCCCCTTTCCCTCTGAACGAGGGAATGGCATGGAAGGAAATAAAGAGATATTACTGGGGTGGGCTACAAGACATGCACAGCCCCACCTTGGACTTTATTTCATTGTCATGCTAGGTTGAGCCAGAACGTTGGACGAATCTGACAGGATGCAAACCAGTTTGTTGTAGTGGTCAGTATTAGACTTACGTCCTGGGAGATGTAAGTTCAAAGCCCTACTCTCGGTTCTTTCACACACGCGAAATAATGCACTTTCAGTCCACTTTCTATTCACTTTGCAACTGCATTTGACTGTGTGAAATAGCGAACGGTTGTTGAAGTAGATTGAAACTGCATCGTTTAGCATGTGTGAAACACCCTTTAAACGGTTGTTGAAGTGGATTGAAACTGCATCGTTTAACATGTGTGAAACACCCTTTGTCTTGGTGGGTATTCAGTTGACCTTGAGCCGGTCACTCTCACTCAGTTTAACCTACCCCACAGGATTGTTGTGAGAACAAAACAGAGGAAGGGAGATGACCCTTAGTTCGTTGGAAGAATGACAGGCTAGAAAGACGGCATCTGGAGCTGATAGCTTTGTCTTTTTAACAGGTTGCTTTTTAACAGGTTATGTTTCCCATAATAGTCTCCCCAAGCAGATTATGTCAATAAGCAGAGACATCCCCTACCACCCCTTTCAAGATTTTAATCTAAAAAGATAAGACACCAAAAGGGGAGAGGGGAAGGAAATTGTTTGAACAATTTGAATTTTTATAATGTTTTATACATTTTTTAAACAAAGCAAGCTGATCTTCCCCTAACAATGCTCTTGCTTGGTTGAGAACCGTGGAGTTGTCCAGTGATTTTTATTCCTCTAACCAGTTATAGAGGCCAAGGGGTCCTTCCCTTTTCTCCTGCAATCTCCGGACAACTGGCAGTTCTGAGGGGGGGGGGAATAAACCACCAACAGGACTGATTTGTTTCAATCACGGTGGCTCTCTAGGACACACACACACACACATATATGTACTCTTCCGGGATTGTTGCTGTAAGTGCTGCCAAAACTCATCTTTTTGTATGTATGTTTGGAATAGACATGCCACTGGCCGTAAATTCTCTCTTTTTTATTACACCTTGGCACCTTGTCGGGGGACATACAATAAAACAAGATGTAGCATCTTCCTGGGCCATCCCTGACAAAAATTTATACAAAGTCTAATGGAAAACAGAAGTTGCTGGCCGAGTCTTGTTTCTCTCTCCTCACCCGCCTACTATACACATTTCTAAGTTCAATAAATAACAGTAATACATGGGATAAAGATGTCCTTTTATGAGCTCAAATGAACCCGGTGCTGCCGCTTAGGATGGAGCCGGCAGCGATATCTTTCCCAGCTGGATTCTTCAGGTTGGAGGGAGCCCGTGCAAACTCTGTGGCTTTCATTGAAAACCTTGTTTGGGCAACCCAAAGGGGTTTAGGGATTTGCCTTTGGAGTCCCTTGCAGAGGAGAAAGCTGATGACCTGAGACACCATCTCAAAAAGCAAGGAGTTTTCACCTGTTGGTGCAGATGAATGGCTTCAGAGCATTTTCTAAGGTTACCGTGTTGCATAAAAGGGAGAAGGAGAAGAATCCTCGAGTCAAAACTAATTCACTGGTTTTATTTCTTTTTGTTTATGTGCCACTTTTCTCCCATATGGCTTACATCATTCTCCTGTATTTTATCCCAACAACAAGCCTGTGTGGTAGGCTTGGCGGAGAGTGTGCAACTGGCCCAAGGCCACTCAGCAGGCTTCCATGGCAGGGCGGAGAGAATTTCAACCGGGTTCTTCCAGCTCTTAGTCTGATGCTGCAGCTGCTATTCCACATTTCTGGCTTTCTCGGTTTCACAAGCAGGAGTCTACTTGTGTCAAACTTTCTGGCTTTACCTGTCAGGTTCCACAACCAACAACTGAGTACACGCTTGTCAGAAAGGTTATACTTTATTGCAGAGCTACAGATGCACTAACATGGTCACTGTTAAGAATTGAGACGTTTCTACAAGCACAATGGGATATAGGGTATTCGTATGCACCCCTCCCCCCATTCATAGGCCAATTGGCCTGACTCCCGCACGCGGCAGAAGGGGCCCCAGGCCGTTAGAGCCGAAGCTGGGAATCGAAAGCTATCCCAAGCTATGATGCCCAGTTACATGCAATCTACAAGGTCAGTGATAATGAAGTACTACAGAAGCAAAGAAGGAATGCAGCAGCGGCTGGTACACAGGTCAGGCAAATGAACCCCAGCCCATAAGCATCATGGCAGCATAGCTGACATTGCTAAACCTTGAATGGAAACCCCTCCTCGCTTGGACTAAGGATCCATCTAGTCCAGCTTCCTGTTTCCAGGCATCACTAGTCCCCTGTAAATTGTGTGAGTTGAGATTTTAGCAGGTATTTAGGGGAGCAGAAGTTCCATGATTGTGGGGAAGCCACTCAGAATTGTCACTGCTTGTTTGAATTTGGGTCACTGGTGTACAACTTAGAAGGTGCTCTTTCGTGCTCTGGATGGTTTGTGCTAACTTAAAGGGATGAGGTGGGCTCTGAGGCCCACTTGTGCTGCAGGGGTGGTGGAAGATCAGGGCAGGGTTGGTGCTGAAGGGTTGGTAGGGCACCTGCTTTGCACGCAGAAGGTCCAGGGTTCAGTCCCCAGCAGCACCTCCAGTTGTAAAGGGTCAGAGCTCCCTTCGTCAGGTACAATTGGAATGGAGATCTTGGAATCCTTTTAATCTAGTCAGAAGGTGGAAGGGATGTTGTGAAGAATGCTTGTAAAGGATGCAGAGGTACCACACACATTGTAATCTGCTTGATCAGCGCAGAGGGGAAATGCTTGGGGGCAGAAAATGAGCATCTCAAGTGAGAAAAGAATCCTGTGTTCCTATTCAGTCCTGAGGGGTCCATTATTCTGAACTTGTGAATGAATTGACTTTTAGCAATCAATCTCTTGCTGTGATCTCCCCTTGAAGCTTCTTTGTTTGAGGACTGCCACTCTTAGGTCATAGATCAAGATGGGTAGCTGTGTTTGTCTGTAGCTGTACAAAAGAGCAAGAGCGTAGTAGCACCTTATAAAGACTAGCAAAACGTGTGGTACAGTGTGAGTAGTGTGTCACTGCTCACTACTTCAGATACCAGGGATTGAAGATAGATTGATAATAGATAGTCATGTTAGTCTGTCTGTAGCAGTAGAAAAGAGCAAGAGTTCAGGAGCACCTTAAAGACTAACAAAATATGTGGCAGGGGAGGAGCTTTTGTGAGTTACTGCTGAAGAAGTCATCTGAAGAAGTGAGCAATGACGCAGGAAAGTTCCTCCCCTGTCCCATATTTTGTTAGTCTCTAAGGGGCTGACTTGGCCACCTGAGGAGCTGCGGTGGCTCAAGTGGTTAAGACGCTGAACTGCAGGCTGTGGAAGGTCAGTAGTTCAGCAGTTCGAGACCCGGCTGCCGCATGATGGAGTGAGCTCCCATCTCTAGTTCCAGCTCCTGCCAACCTAGCAGTTCGAAAGCAAGAAATTGCAAGTAGATAAATAGGTACCACTTTGGTGGGAAGGTAACAGCGTTCCGTGTGCCTTGGTGTTTAGTCATGCCGGCCACATGACCACGGAAACGTCTTCGGACAGCGCTGGCTCTTCGGCTTTGAAACGGAGATGAGCACCGCAACCCTATAGTCGGATTCGACTGGCTTTCGAGCAAGGGAACCTTTACCTTTAAGGGGCTCCTGGACTCTTGGCTCTTTTCCACTGCTACAGGGGTGGAAGAGATACAAAACCAAGTTAGGTATCTGAAGAAGTGGGCAGTGACTCACGAAGGTTCCTGCCCTGCCACAAATTTTGTTAGTCTTTAAGGTGCTCTTGGACTCTTGCTCTTTTCTACTCTCAGGTCAGCAATGGAATGACTTGGAAGATTAAAATGTTCTTCCACTGGTTTTTGAGTGAAAAAATGGACATAAATCCAACAGTAAAAACCCAAACACTCAAAAGCCAGAGGGTATCTGACAGAGGGAGCTTTGGCTCGCAAAAGCTCATGCGCTGAAAATCCTGTTGGTCTCTGAGTTGCTACAGGACTTGAATCTAAATGTTTGCAAAATACCCTTCATAGGAAGAACTATTGGTGAAAAGCAATCCTAAACAGGCATACTCAGAAGTAGTTCCCACATTTCTCAGGGGAGTTTGGTCCCTGGAAAGTGTCCGTAGGAATGCAGCCTATTCCTTTCAAGCAGACAGACTTTTGTTAGCCAACTGAGACGCTGATGGTTTGGAACACATGAAGCTGCCCGGTACAAAGTCAGACCATTGAGTGGTCTGGGCCAGTACTGTCCACTTTGAGTGGCAGTGGTTCTCCAGCATATGAAGCAGAGTCTTTCTGCCTGATATCTGAGATCCTTGAATTGGAGATTGAATCCAGGGGGGGATTGAATCCAGGGATTTCTGCATGCAGAAATGTGTGCCCTGGCGCACCCCCTCCTGAAGAAGTCTGTTTCCTTTGTCTTTGCCATTACAAAGATGTGCTGAAAATGTTCAAGCCGTGCATATGGCCGATTGCTTTTATGATGATTATCTGTGTATTGCTTTGTGCCTCTCCTGTACGTGTTGTCTCTCTGGAAATATGACTTCATTAAGGTTTGTGACCTGGTCAAATAAAGTTTAACTAAGATACCTGAGCGCCCTGCTGCTGTAGCTGCTGCTGCTTTTCAAGTTTTGGGGGCATGGTGGCTTATGGGGTGATCCACTTTGTTCCCAGGCTTGGTGGAATACCTGTTGGAGTCGTGGCTGTCGAAACCAGAACAGTGGAACTGAGCATTCCTGCGGATCCTGCAAATCTTGATTCAGAAGCGAAGGTAGGCCTTTTGTGGGCACTTTTCTGAAAATGAATGGTCTTTGGAGGAGGGGCGGTGGAAGTGATATAAAACCAAGTTAGGTGATTTCATGGAGACCAGGGGTCCCCAACCTTTTTGACCCTGTGGCTACCTTTGGAATGCTGACACAGATTGGTGGGCAGGGTCTTTTTCCTGGGGGAGTGTGCTGGAATGGAGTTACGGAACCTCGTTGACAAGACTCTTTTAAAAATCTTTAAAATTTCACGAGCTTTCAGTATATAGATTGAAAACTTCATTTTCCTCTTGAGAGTTTCGGCACCTCTCTCTCTTTCTCTCTTTTTAAAGAAGCCCCAGTGGACACAGGCACAAAACGACTGCCACAGACTGGCTGCTGCAGGAGGGGGGGGGGCAACCACAAAATGTCTGCCGCAGCTTACCTTCATTCACATGGTGAAGTCCCTTGTTCTGTAGTGGCAGCTGCTGCCAAGGCAACACCTTAAAATCTGTACAGCCAATCAGATCTCCAGCAGCCAGTCAGAAGCCTTTGCTGGGCAAAAGCCCAACCTGATCTTGCCCACTTTCTAAAAGCACTTGAAGAGCACCAGGAAAGGTATTGGTGGGGGCCCACAGGCATCGAGTTGGGTACCCCTGATGTAGACCAGCTATTTTGGAGGGTGATGATGCATGCAGACTTTTATGCTACAGAGAGTGCATTGCCAAAAGAACCAGGATGACCGCAAATTCTCATCTACGTTGCGATAACAATTGCTTCAGTAACAGCACAGGTGTTCCCCTTCACAACAGATCATTCAGCAGGCTGGCCAGGTGTGGTTCCCCGATTCGGCCTTCAAGACAGCACAAGCCATCAAAGACTTTAACCGCGAAGGGCTCCCCCTAATGGTCTTTGCGAACTGGAGGGGCTTCTCCGGAGGCATGAAAGGTGATTATTCCAAAACTGGGGTCGCCTTAAAAATACAGGGATGGACAATTAAAACACAACTGGATGCTGTGTGTGTATATGGGGCAGATTGATATGAAAGAGTCGGCTGAGGAATTGGGGGTGGTTTGGTGGGAACTGCTAAGCTAATGTCAGCCGAGGACCAATGGATTCAGCAATACGAAACCGAACAAAAGTCCAGTAACACCTTAAAGGCTAACAATGCTTGAATGTTGAAATAAATGTTGTTAGTCCGTCATGACAGAATTTTTGAAGAAGTCCACTGCCACCTTAAAGACTAAGATGCCTGTCCCTTTGCCAACATTCAGCAATGCAGACATGGCTGACAAAAAAAATACTTAAAGAAATAGGGTTGGATCCGGCCAGCTTTTTCACTCTGTCTCACTCAATTCCCTCTCATGCTGCAGTTCCTGTCCTGTATGGTTTTTATACACACCAGTCCCATAATTCTCAGCATAGCCTTTTTTGTGATCTAAGGAGATTCCTCCCCCCTCTGTAATCGTTGTCACCACATGTAAAGTGGGTTAGATCCAACCCACATTTTGTCCAGTTTGGAGTATGAGCTTGAACAGTAACCAGCAGAAGCCGCAAGCTTTTAGAGGTTTCAGGATCAAGCACTGCCGAGGGAGTTGTGGGTCGTACACAGGAAGGTGGGAATCAGCCCTGCATAGGATTCGTGACACCTGTTTGGCCACCAGGCTCTGTGGCTTCGTGCTAAGGGAGAGAAGGCACTTGATGTCGTCACAAAAGGAGCGTGGCCAAAGATGGAAGGGGGTGGTGTTCAAATGGGCGTCTAGGTTTCTACGCTGCCTTTCCTAAGTCCAAAGCTGTTCACAAGTATTGAGAACAGTTGCCAGTGAGACGGCCAGGAAGAGGAGGGAAGGATTTACAGGCTTTTCTGCCGGCAAGAGATTTTTTCTTTTCCTGACTCTCACTCCTGGGGTCTTCACTAGAGCTGGTTACCTGGTTAATGGGAACCACTCTCTTCCAGCTAATGATGACAGTAGTCTCTTTACTGTTCCTATCTGCAGTATGGGGATGATAACACTGGCCTGCCTTACAGGGTTGTCGTGAAGGCCACAACAAAGATATACGAGAAGTGCTTTGGAAACCATAAAATAAGTAATAAATATGTAACCTGCATCATGTTTTCTTTATACGAAGTGGTCCACGTGTGTTATATTGTGGTCCAGGTAGGGTAGGCCAGCATGATTAACTCAGTCTTGCGGGGGGGGGGGACACACGACTGTGCCAGAGAAGAAGGCCACGGCCTGATGGTCTCTCCAGCTCTTAAATTCTAGGTGGCATTACCAGGTGGATCTAGCTGATCTTTCAGGAGAGAGTGCGGCAAGCAAGTGCCAACCAAAAGTCCTTCTAGCATCCCATGAAATACTTCAGAGGATGGTGGAGCCCAAAGAAAAACGCCTCATCCCCCAGTTGGTAATCTAGAAGGGTCTGGCGTGGTGTTCTGGGAGGAGATGCTCTCTGTGCCCAACATTGCCAGGTGTAGGAGCCCAGGCAGGAAGTCAAGAGCGCATCAATCTTCCCACGCTCCTTGGAGAGGTGCTTTAGATTCTGGTTTCGATGCTGGCTGGCCAGGCACTTTGGGGGAGGCAGAAGGTGGAGGGGGGGAGGATTAAGCAGGGAGTGAAAATAAACAATTATACCACCCCTCAGTGCGCCTAAGAACACAAATACATGCATATGTACACACACACCCCGCCAAGGAACGGCTGCGCAGTGGGTAAAATGACTCCAAAATTGTGTGTAATGAGTAGGAAAAGATTAGAGACGGCTCTTGCGACGTTGAGAATTGACATTAGCGGAGGGGGTGGGTAGTGGAAAAACTCTTTACAAGTCAGCCTAGGAGGTCTAATTTAAGTCATTGCGTGTGAGTGTCTCCGTACGTGTGGGCTTGTGTGTGTATATATTTATATATGCACTTTATTTATCGTATGGATTTTTTTTAAAAAGGCGTACCGAGAGGCAAAAGGCTGCCTTCCACCAAATGAGCTTTTTTTTCCTGCCTGCTAGGCTATTCAACATAATGCAAAAATTAAATTATTTTTTTTTTTTTAAGAATGCCTTGAATATTTAGATGGAGGGAAGCAGTTTATTTAGACGAACCGCCAGTGACCCACAACAGCGAGACATCAAGCGTGAAATTTGCTCGAAATTAGCACCGGGGTCTCGAGCTCAGCGTGAATAGGGTTGATAGGATGCAAATCCCAAAGATATTAAACCGCCTCGCTGGCAGCGCTATGGGGTCGCTCTCGGTTGGTTTTTCATGTTATACTTATTATTTTTCCCCCACCCCCTGGGACAGGTTATAAATAACAATAATAATATATAAAAAAGGAATGGTTATGAGACACTGTAGCAGGAAGGAAAAGGCCTTTAAGGGGGGGGGGGGAGACGGGACCCATCTCTGATTACCTGCATGTTTGTATCGTGGTAGAGCCCGATCTTAATGGATTTGGGAGGCTTTTTATGGAAGTGCGATGGATGTACCGCTTCGTGTTTGTGCATGAGTGTATCTGTGGTTCCTTTCTCTTTTTTTTGTTTAACTTAAGGGCTTCAGCTGAGCCACTGAGGTTGATTCCAATTTTGAATGTGCCTAGAATCGGTGGAAGTGGTGAGAGAGAAAGAGCTTGAAAGAAGGGCTGCGAAAGAATCCCAGATGCCTGGCCCCCTAGGGTGCCTGGGACATTGACCCAGTGGCAACAAGGCAGTGGTATTAATTTGATACACTTAGTGCCACCAATGTGAATGGCACTTTGCAGAGTGCAAGAAGGCCGGTCCCTGCCCCCAGGAGCTCGCAATATACCATTTGAGATGAGGGAGATGATAAAGGAGGTGGAACTGGGGTGCCACTGAGAAAGAATTCATTTCAGTTATGGGGCTTAGCTTCAGAGGGGAAGGGGGAATAAAGGGGTGTCTCAAAATAAGAAAAAGAAGTTAACACTGTGGACGGGGCGGGGGGGGGGCTGTAGCTCAGTGGAAGAGCCTCTGCTTGGCGTGCAGAAGATCCCAGATTCAATCCCCAGCATCTCCAGTTAAAAAGGACCTGGCAGGAGGTGGTGTGAGGGACCTCCGCCTGAGACCCTGGAGAGCGGCTGCCAGTCTGAGCAGACAAGACAGACTTTGATGGACCGCCAGGGGTCTGATTCAGTCTAATGCAGCTTCATATGTTCGGGTGACCTGATGACCCGTTTGTGCCTGGCCACCCACCACCTGCTGAGATTCTTGCAAAAGACATGAGACTGGGTGGGCCTTGATTGTGATCTGGCAGAGAACTTCTCTTGCTCTTAGGCAAGAGTTGCAGACTCAGGATCATGTGACTCAGGTCAGTTGCACGTTATCTGTTAAGTGATCCTGAGTATGCACTCTTGTTTTGTGTGCTTGAAACCCACGGGTGCATCCTGAGGAGCCTAGTAAGCCACGGAGTCAACCTCGCAAGAGTAGTGTCAGCCCTCTTCAGGTGTTGACTCCTTGTGGAATCCTAAACACGGTGATGCCCGTGAACTCATTGAGCTTAGAGAGGTGGTAACTGCTTAGATCCTGCCAATCCAGCAGTTCGAAAGCAAGAAATTGCAAGTAGATAAATAGGTACCACTTCAGTGGGAAGGTAACAGCTTTCCGTGCGCCTTGGTGTTTAGTCATGCCGGCCACATAACCACGGAAACTTCTTCGGACAGCGCTGGCTCTTCAGCTTTGAAACGGAGATGAGCACCGCAACCCTAGAGTCGGATTCAACTGGCTTTCGAGTAAGGGAACCTTTACCTTTAACTGCTTAGAATTGCAGTGTTAGCTCCTACAGTGCAGAGGTTTATTTTGGGAATCGCTACCCTGCCCTTCTATCAAAGCAAGCACTCTGTGTGGTTCACAAAAGAGAGAGAGAGAGAGAGAGCGCAACTGCATGTCAAGCAACAGCAGACAGCTATAAAAGCAGTATAGCTGCCTGTTTCCTTTTCATTAATGACTCCCACTTTATGGAATGGACTTTCTGAGGAGGTGAGAAAGGCACCAACCTCGGAGGTTTTTAGAAATAAGTAAAGCATCTAAAAGATTGTGACCTGCAAGCAGTGTTCTCTCTAAGCTGAGTTAGTGTGAGCTAGCTCACAGTTTTTTAGCCTCCAGCTCACAGATTTTTGTTTTAGCTCAGGAGGGATGGCTCCAGAGCAAACTAATTTATGCAGTAGCCGAATTGCTCGCTCACAGCTTTAATGCCAGTAGCTCACAAAGTGGAATTTATGCTCACAAGACTCCACAGCTTAGAGGGAGCATTGCCTGCAGGTACTTTGGGTGGGGTAAAAAAATTTTTAATTAATTATTCTGTTGTTTTTAAGTATAGAGTGTAAGCTGCCTTGAGCCGCAGAGAGGCAGAGTATAAATATTCTAATTAGTAAACAACACCCTAAAATCCTGAATGTCGGGAAGCAACAAAAGGAAGGTAAACACTATAAAGTGACAATAAATAATCCAAAAGCTGTAAATCTGGGTCCATCAAAGAGAGCAGAATAAAATTTAAGATTAAAACCAGCAACCGGCAATAAAATGAAGTAAAAATCAGTGTGGGGGAGGGAAAGATGCACAGAGGGGGGCACAATTTGGATGTCCCTTTGCACAGCTGCCTCCATAAAAATGTATTTTTTACAGATCAGCAGAAGTCCAGGCCTGAAGGGGCCAAACTGGATTCCTGGGGCTGAGGTCAGGGATTGTGGCCCATGAATCTAGTAGCCACAGAACTTGGGGCCATCGATGCATCGGCATGAATAACATGCTTGGAGCTCAGCTGGGACTTTGATTTATTCCTCCCGCCCCAACCTCCATGCCTTCCTTTGTGTGTGTCTTCTCTTTTGTAGCCATCCAGAGGATGTTGTCTTCCCCCCCCCTCGCTTGTCCTGCTTCCTCAGAGTAAAATATTTGCTCATGGCAGGAGTGAAAAATGCCACGCTAATTACGCAATTATTTTATTATGGAGCACTACTACAAAAACGTCTCCTAAAGAATTAATTTGGTAAAAATAATTTGAATCAAGCAATTATTTTCTTAACACTGGAATTAGCTGAAAGGAGCTTCAAGTGGTTTATTGCTAGCACTACATAATAAAATGATTGTTTAATTAGCAATACATTTGTCATTCCCTTTATAAAAAAATAAAGATCTTTGCTTTCATCCAGGGATGGCATTTTGTTAAAAGTTTCTTCTCTTTCTTCTCTTCCAACATTTTTAGATGCCCTATTTATGTTTATCTGATGGTAGCACATTAGCAGTCTTTGAAATCTTTTCAAGAGTTATACACAATGGCTTTTTAAAAGCATTAAAAAAACATGCATTTTTTATTTCCTGTGATCAGGTGTAAATAAATGTGAAGCTACAATTGTGACTAATAGAAAGCATGTAGTTAACACTCGAGAATCAGTGTGTTTTCCCCACCATTTACTGAGTCGGGCCACTGGTCCATTTTGTCCTGAGATCTTGCTTTCACTGGAGATGGCATGGGTTGGTCCTGAGACCCTCTGCATGCAGATGCTCAGCCTCCAAGCCTTCCTGTTATTCATAAACTCCAAGTCCCTTACATTTTTCCTTGCTTCTCCCAACGACTCTCAGAAGCAAAATAGAAGCATGCAAAACCAAGCAGCTGTCTACCAGGTTGCAGAATTTTGTGCAAGCTGTAGAATTTATCTGCTTGGTGCAGGGTTTGGGTTATCTTAGAACAACCCCCATGTGTGTTTGGAAACTGCTCATGCCAGATTAACCTGATCAGAATCGATTCTGATTCTAGGTGACCCCAATAGACCGGGTCCGTCAAACACAGGAGTTCTCTGGTGTGGCCGCACAAGTTATTGAACTGTGTTCTGGGTTAGGAAACAATGCTTTTAGAAAGTCAAAGGAGAGGCATACTTTTCTGCTTCTAAATGCTCCAGTGCTTGCTGGTCCCCCGTTCCATTAAAATTAGTGGCACAGGTGCCAAGGTGTCAGTCCGTGGTTTGGCCGATGGTGCTGGTGGAAGGGACGTTGGCAGGCAGACTATGGGAGGAGGGTGCCTTGGAGCTGGACGGCAAAGGGTGTTTTTAGAAGCCAGTCACTGGTCCTGCTACAGGACTTCTTCCCTGGTAAAGGGGTGGAGGCCAATGTTCCCTCTAAGCTGTGGAGTCCTGTGAGCAAAAATTCTCCTTTGTGAGCTGCTGGCATTAAAGTTGTGAGCGAGTGATTTGGCTACTGCATCAATTAGCTTGCTCTGGAGCCCTCCTCCCTGAGCTAAGACAGAAATGTGTGGGCTGGAGGCTAAAATTCTGTGAGCTAGCTCACAGTAACTCGGCTTAGAGGGAACATTGGTGGAGGCACCATAACTCAGTGGCAGAGTGCACGTTTTGTGCACCTAAAGGCCTCAGGTTCAGTCCCCAACATCTCAAACTGCAGGGTCTCTAACAGCAACTGTGGGAAAGGACAAAGAGCATCCCAGAGAGCTGCTGCCTGCCTGCTCCAGCAGTCCTGGTCTATGACAACCAGTGCCGGTGTGTGTGTGTGTGTGTGTGTGTGTGTGTGTGTGTGTGTGTGTGTGTGTGCTCTGAGAAGCCACTGGGTTCTCCAAGCTATTTGTGCACCCTTTCCTTAGAGGCAGCACCCAGGTTTTTTTGTTTGTTTTCTTGCTGTCAAGTTGCAGGTGACTTTTGGCAACCCCGTGGGGTTTCCGAGGCACGAGGCACCCAGAAATGGTTTGCCATTGCCTGCCTCTGCGTAGCAACCTTGGACTTCCCGGGCGGTCTCCCTGCTTGGCTTCTGAGGTCTGATGAAATTGGGCTAGCCTGGTCTAACCAGTTCAGGGCAGCAATGGGGTAGGTTGGCATTTTGCTGTCTGGTCTTGTTTTAATAATTCTTGTACTGTTTTTCCACAGACATGTATGATCAGGTGCTGAAATTCGGGGCCTACATCGTGGATGGCTTACGGGAATACAGGCAGCCTGTCCTGGTGTACATCCCTCCCCAAGCAGAACTGAGAGGAGGCTCCTGGGTGGTGATCGATCCCACCATTAACCCTCGACACATGGAGATGTACGCTGACCGAGAGAGCAGGTAATGCCTTCTGCCTTGTGCCTCATCCATCGTGTGCACCTCCGAGATTCAAGCACTGAGCTGGGTACACTGGTAGTGAGCCTAATGGCTGGAATCAGCTGCATAAGGGCCTGTCTGTCTTCACCGGGCTCTGCTATGACCACGGATAAAGTGGGGGGGGGGGATGTCCAATGTTTAAAGCCGAAAGGGGGCAAGAAGAGCAGAGTCCATCCTTTTGCCCTGCTTCTCGTGGTGCTTGTAGAATTATACCATCAATATGTTTCAGGACTTTGCAGGTATGAGAAAAGAAACAAAGCAGAAGTCTAGTGGCACTTCAGTGGCTAACATCAGCATTTATTCCTGTGTGAGTTTTCGTGTAGTCAGAACTCACTTTCTTAGATGCAATGGAAACAGAAAATCATTTACCTCATTTTCAGAAAGCTGCAGAAGGGAAGGGGGAAAGGGGGAGAAGTTGAGCAAAGACAGGTCCAGGGTTGTAAATCAGGTGTGATTCTCTTATTTATTTTAATTTATACCCAGCCCTACCCCAGGAATGGGCTCAGGGTGGCTCACAACAAAATAACGGCAAACAATAAAAACAATAAATAGCAACAGCAGATAAAACCAAAGCCCATGCCTCATATTGGGCAGGAATAATTACCCCAAGAAATTCCAGTGCCCAAGTAATATCCAGAACAGCAAGGGCACTAGGAAAGGGGTCATGGACGCGGCCATGGACGGGGGACCAGATTGGTTGAATGCCTGCTGCTTCAGCCAAAGGCCTGGTGGAACAGCTCCATTTTACAAGCCCTGCCGAACTGTAGGAGGTCCTGCAGGGCGCTGATCTCAAATGGGAGCATGCTCCACCAGGCTGGGGTGAAGGCCGAAGAAGCCCTCGCCCTGGTCAAGGCTAAGTGGACATCCCTTGGGCCGGGGACCACCATTATACATAAGAGAAGATGAGAGAAGGCAGAGGTTTTAGCTGTTTCTCATATGCTGAAAACAAACAAGAGTGCGATAAAGTAGGGTAAATAGCAAACTAATTAAGGAAGAGGTCGTTTGAAGCTTGAAAGAATTAAGTGACATCAGTACAGGGCTATGGTATGATAGGACAGTCGATAGACGTTTCTAAAATAAGAAGAGAAATGCCCTGCTGTAAGGATCTTGCAATCTAAAATTTGGCATAAGAGAGGAAATAAGAAATAATTAATAATTATCATAATTAATTAATAATTATTGTACGGCATTGTGTGGAGTATAGCCAGGAGATCCTAAGAGTGACCAGCAGCCTTAAGTTCTAACTCTTTTAGCGTTATGCACCACTAGGTGAGCTAGACTTATTTTGTGGGGCTGAGAGAGCTGTGACTGGCCCAAGGTCACCCATCCGGCTGCATGTGGAGGAGGAGTGGGGAATCAAACCTGGTTCTCCAGATCAGAGTCTGCGGCTCTTAACGACTACACCACACTGGCTCTCAGGGAGGAAAGAAAAGGGGGGGGGAGGGGATTACTCTTAATATCGCATAATTACTGCCAATGTTCCCTCTAAGCTGAGTTATTGTGAGCTAGCTCACATTTTTTAGCCTCCAGCTCACACATTTTTGCCTTCGCTCAGGGAGGATGGCTCCAGAGCAAATTAATTTATGCAGCAGCCAAATCGCTCACTCACAACTTTAATGCCAGTAGTAGCTCACAAAGTCGAATTTCTGCTCACAAGACTCCACAGCTTAGTGGGAGCATTGATCCCTGCTTCTATTTTCCATCCCTATCCTAATAATTCCTCGCACAGAATTTTCTTCCCCACATCTGCGGCATCTAGACTTCACCGTCACGGGGCCTTTCCCCTCGGGAGTAGCGTGTCCCTTCCAGCACAGTCTGCCTCGCCACCTGAAAGGATCTTCCTTCCTCCCCTGTTTTAGAGGCGGGGTCCTGGAACCTGAGGGGACCGTGGAAATCAAATTCCGCAAGAAAGACTTGGTGAAGACAATGAGACGAGTGGACCCCATCTACACACGCCTGGCAGAGCGACTCGGTAAGCCCTGCAAAGGTTGTTTTCGTGCTGGTGAACTCATCTCGCTCACCTCTAATGGAAGCGTGAACTGGCTATCTTCGATGTGGTCTCTGTGCTTCACACCCATGGGATCTAGTGCGGACGCGCTGGATCAATCGGCGTTGTAGCAAGCTCTTTAACGGATTTTCGCATGCCCAGAGGGGAGGGCGCGGACATCCACCATATTAGCCATGCATGGGCATCTATGTTCATGCATTGAAACTCAAGTGAATTTTCCTTGCAGGCAGGTCAGCTGCAGCGGCCATCATCCGGCTGACTCTGCCTCCTACAGCAGCCGTTTTGTGGCTGCGCTGTGACCACATCGCGTCAGGATTGCGAAGGGGCCCACAGACTCAGAAAGGTTAGGGAGCCCTGGATTAGATTATCAGAAAACAGGCCATTGTCTGATTCCAGCATCCTGTTTCCTCCAGCGGTCGGCCTGCCGCTGCTCAGATTTTCACCAGCAGGGCCTGGAAGCGACGGCCCTCTCACCCTGACTCTTTGCCTCCCACACCAGGTGTTCAGAGACAAGAGTGCCCCTGAACACAGAAGTACCCCTTTGCTGTCAGGGCTAGTAGACCAAACCTCTGTGGACTTGTCTTTAAGACATAGCTAAGCTTCTGGCAGTGCAGTCCCACACAGGCAGTCCCTGCGCACCTCGGAAAATTAAGAGCAGAATAAAGATTATCATTGGAGTCCAGTGGCACCTTTAAGACCAACGGATTTTTATTCAAGATGTGAGCTGTAAAATGGGGACCAAAAGCGGTCTGTGTTGTTCTCCTCTCTTTTTCGTCTTCACAACAAACCTGCAAAGTAGGGCCACGTTCAGACTGGCAGTTTGGCCCGACAGGCAAACGTTTCAGGAGCGTTTTAGTAGCTGGTTAAAGGGGCGGGTTCACACAGGCACATGTTTCAGGTGTCCCCCCAGCTGTACTCAAGCCATCTTGTGCTGCTTCCCTCCCGAGTTCAAAAGATACCTTGTTAAAGTGGTAGCAAACTGTGTATAGAGCGCGTTGATTCCGGTTCCCTGAGTGTGAATGCAAGCGCTGCTAAGGCGGGAACAACCCACAGTCATTGGTAATAGGCACTGGCTGTGTCTGCGGCCAGGCGCCATTGGCACCTGCGCAATCCTGCCCTATTTGCCGCTGTGCCCATGTGCATGGGCGCATGCAGCCCAGCACAGAAACAGCTGCTAACAGGCTGCCAGGGCAGCCCAACAGTGTGAATACTCCCTTGCGCTTCCTCCACGGTATCCTCCCGCTTCATTTGCTGCGGTGTGAACGGGAATACCGCAACCAAGCCGTTCCAGGTCTATTCCGGGTTTTCTTTGCCACAACTCCCTAGCGCTTCAAATTGCCAGTCTGAACTCTGCCTAGATTAGGCTGAGAGTGTGTGACTGATGAAAGTCACCCAGCAGGTTTCCGTGGCAGAGCAGGGATTTGAACTGGGATCTCTCAGATGCTAGTTATGATCGAGGCTTACAAGATTATGCCTGGGATAGAGCAGGTAGAGAAAGAAGTACTTTTCTCCCTTTCTCACAATACAAGAACTCAATGAAATTAATGAGCAGTAGGTTTAGAACAGATAAAAGGAAGTACTTCTTCACCCAAAGAGTGATTAACACATGGAATTCACTGCCACAGGAGGTGGCGGTGGCTACACGCATGAACAGCTTCAAGAGGGAACTGGATAAACATCTGGAGCAGAGGTCCATCAGTGGCTATTAGCCACAAGATATGAATAGGACCTCTCGGTCTGGGGCAAGTGATGCACTGTATTCTTGGTGCTTGGGAAGGGGGGGCAACAGTGGGAGGGCTTCTAGTGTCCTGGCCCCACTGCTGGACCTCCTGATGGCACCTAGTATTTCTGGCCACTGGGTGACACAGAATGTTGGACTGGATGGGCCATTGGCCTGATCCAACACTGGCTTCTCTTCTGTTCTTATGTTCACTCTAACCACTGTATCACACATGACCACT